CATCGAATTATTTGTGACTAGATTCTAGGCGTTCAGAGGCCCATTCGTGAGGCAAGGGCATATTGGAATAGAGGATTGCACGGTTTGAGATAAGTAACACTTCTAAACATGGTTTTGAGGGTATGAATCCCTGAATTTCATGTTATGTGATTGGTAGGGAGGTGACGCACATGCTAGGTGATAGGCGTGTGGGCGTGCACCATATGAATTGTGATTTAATTGATTCTATGGAGTTATGAAGTCAAATAATCTTGTCATTATCCGTAGAGACTGAACTGCGATTTCCTGTTAAAATCATTTTGAGGCTATATGCCAGTATTATTGAGACCCACAGAGGTCATGTTAGTGTTAATTTATTTGCTTAAATTGCAAGTTTGTATTGAGACATAGTCATCATTTGCATATTATATCTCGGTCTCTATTTCTAATAGTGTTGTGTCATATATCAATGTTTGTGGTAATTAGCATAATTTATTATAATTGTCAGCTTGCCTAGTATTTCGATAGGTGCCATCAAAACATGTGAGATTTTAGGTTGTGATAAGTTAGTATCAGAGCATAGGTTACATAGGTCTCACGAGTCATGAACAGGTTTACTAGAGTCTTGCGGATCGGTACAGAGACATCTGTACTTATCTTCGAGAGGTTGCCGAACCATTGCTCGTCCTCGAGCAATCAAACTATGACTTGAGAGGTTAAAATTATATAAGTCATAAATTAATTTGGGACTTACCATCTATGAAAAAATTATTTATTTCGTGCTTATTATTGAGTTATCATTATTATTTACATAACCCATGCTTATTAAGAACTTCTGTATTTTTATTGTTAGACAATAGTAAGTGTCGATGTCGACGCCTCGTCACTAATTTGTCGAGGTTAGACTTGATACCTTCTAGGTACATGTTGTTTATGTACTCAGGCTACACTTTTGCATTAAACGTGAATGATCTGAGGTAGGTGCATATGGCGGTCATACCAACGCGCATTCCCGTTTCTCTTAGGCATAGTGGTGAGCTACTTCCTGAGCCGTTCTGCAGCACCTAGAGTCTCTCTTTTGCACTCATTTTCTATCTATTTTTATTTTAGACAGTAGTTATAGTTTTGTATATTCTACTAGTGGTAATACACTTGTGACACCAGGTCATGGCACACATACTAGTTGTCACGACCCAATTTCATCATAGGCCGTGATGACATCCAACACCACTATTAGGCAAGCCAACACTGATAAATCTAGTGGTTTCCACTTTTAATATATTTGCAAAGTGAATAGCTTTCCTCATATAAAAAAGTTTTAGAAATTTACTGCTTTAACATAATGAAATAAAATCAACTGAGAGCAAATTGAAGTCATGACAATAAATCAAAAATCATAAGTCTACTAGTGTGTGCCAGGACCTGGTGTCACAAGTGTGTGGGCTACTAGCAGAATATATAAAAGAAAGAAATTTCTGAAGTGAATAGACAGAAATATAAATCCAAAAGAAAGACTCTGGTTGCTGCTGAACAGCTCGGAAGGGCAGCTCACCATGTAGTCTCGAGCTAGAAGTCAAGCGTGCGCGTCGGACTGGTAACCAGATGCACCTGCCTCAGATCATGCACATCAAGTGCAGAAGTGTAGCGTGAGTACGCAAACAACATGTACCCAGAAAGTATCTAGTCTAACCTCAAAGAAGTAGTGACAAGGGGTCGACTTCGACCTTACTAAGGGACAAAAACATAATAATGTGAAGTTCTAATAAAGTATTTAAATATAGAATATAACAGCGCTCAAACAAGAAGTAAGTAAGCAAATCCTTCTTTCAAGTAAGAATCAAACCATTTCTCATTTATTCCTTTCACTTTTAAAGTCCGTGAAACATTATTAAATAATAAAAGGGATGTCGGTATCACTAAGCCCGAGTTATGCCGAGGACGTACGGCCCAATCAAAATATATATAATAATATATTATGCATTGCCGAGGGTCAATAAATCCTACCGAGGCGAATGACCCGCTCCCATGAGAGTAGTGGAAGTTTACCCCGCTCGCGGAATATATTTGTGAAGCGGTTGAACATATAATTTCTCAATTCATCGTAGTATTTCTCAATTCCTTTTTAAAAATAAGAAATTCAACTAGGATCTTTAATATTGAAACCCTCAACTTCCACTTTAATCCAACAACTAGTAAGCATAAACAAGCAACAGTATTAACAAAACATGGTGTAAGCCTAAATCTACCCGGACATAAGCATGGATAGTAGCTACGAACGGACTCTCGTCACATCGTGCGT